CATGTCCCCAGCCTTTTCGATTTTTATTGACTCCAACAGGAAGAGAAATGTTACTTAAGGATGGTAATTTTAAGTTTTGCTTTGYTATAAGAGGCAAATTGAAGTCCTATGCTTGAGAATGCTGTCTGTTTCATAGTTCCTAACTAGAGCCGGCTATAAACCAGCACCAGGTAYTTTAACAGACTCTGCCTATTTTAGCCTTTGATATCATCTGTTCCTCATATTTTTGTAGTCACAGTGTTTCTCTTACAAGATGTGTGATATTGATGCACAGGGTCTTTTAGTCTTCTCCTTTTCAGTGACACAAGCCAAGTTCTAGAAAGCCTCAATTTATCAGCTATTACTGTACAGACCTCCTTCCCTTCCTGGTCCTTCTCCCAAGTAGTGGAGTGTGTATACAGTTTAAAAAAAAAAAAAAAAAGGAGCATGTCATAGGAATGCATTCTTCTAGACTGGGTGATTAGAAATATCTAATCCTGAACTATTAAAATGGCTCTTGCTTAAAATGAAATGTAAAATTCTGACAATCTGCAAATAATTGCATGCTGCTTAACTGGCACTGCTGTAGTTTTTGTTTGTGATATATCCAAAGGAAGAGATGGATGCACTGTCAGAATTAAAGCTCTCTTGTTATTTGGCCATATGTTTCTGCTTTGGTCCCAGCCTGTTACRTTGCTGCACAGAGTCTTCATATACWACACAAGCTCCAGRGGAGGTGGGGAAAAGAGTGAATCTTTCCAGGGCTCCTTCTTACCAGAGAGCTGGCATGGACTTGAATGCAGCCAAGTTTTTCAGCACTATATCCTTCCTGGCTGTAAAGCCCAAAGAACCAGGGACTCGTTAACATGATCTGCAGGAGATGTGCATTCATCGGAGACAAAGACAGCAAGAAACTGGAACTCGTGTATCTTTCTATGCCAGACTCCAATAGGGAAGAAAGTATCTCATTGAAGATTGGCTGGGAAGAGCTGAAGGTTGATCTTAGTCTTTAAGATTAAAAGGGCATCAAGTCCATCAACATTTTAGGAYGCTGCAAGCATAGTTAAACTAAGTCTTCCAAATTCTTCTGCTTTTTCTCCCCAATTCACCAATAGCCACTGACTACATCAAAGTGACATTCTCAAAACACAGTACATACTCTCCACATTTTCATTATCAGRCCAGGCCCTTGGATAGTTGGGTCATCAAGACCCTCCTGGCTTCCTRTACACAACGAGTGAGGCAAAGATCAGCTGAGATACCACCAACTGCTGGAGAGGTTCCTTGTGGTACAGGGAATGGGACAACATCAAAAAGTCTTTCTGCTATAAAACTGACACAGCTCTGGCAATCCCTTTGGCCACATAAACACTTACCAGCCATCTCCTCCCAGAAAGGAAACAGGAAGAATTTAAGGCACCAGATCAAAAGAAATCTCAGCTCTGCAGAACAGAGTCTGAAAAAGAATAAATGCCAGAAACTCTACAAAACCCACCAGGGACTTAGCTATTGATTTTGCACTGCAGATGGTCAGACATTATGGTAATGTGGCAACGTAAAACCTGATGCTAGATTCATGGTGGGTGATTCAGTTCAAGCATTGTGGCTTAGCTTCACASAATGACACTTCTGACATTTCAAAACTAGCACTCACTAGCGTCACATCAGGAGGATGTGGCCCTGACTCCATCTCCACAGAGATTTGAAAATCCACTGGCAAAGCTTTAACTTCTTCATAAGACAATAGCAGATAATGCTTTTTAAGTAGTCTTTGTTTATCTTTTATTCTTTTGTTTCTAATGGASTCTTTCTGAATTTGAAAATAACATCCTCTCTACTTTTGTTGTGATTTCCCCAGTGGGAAGGAACTGAAAAAGCYAATCTACGTCAAGTCAGAAGAAATGCGTGCGAAGTTAACATGGTTCAGAAAAAAGTGTTTGATCATAGAATGTTGCCAAAGACCCAGCAAGAGCTGGGCACACCACCCTTGTGGGAGTTCTGCCATTGACTGCATGGGCCCAGAATCTCATCTATTTGTCATAGAATTGGATGAGTGATAAATCAAACAAAGGAACAGCAAGTTACTTGGCAGCCAAATAGTATTTGTATGTTCTAGTCTTCCTSTCTTTGAAGATTCTTAGTTTTCTGGGAAAAGTGTAGTCAAACATCTTGTTCAAACAATGACCATTGGCACAGGTCAATTATACTTGCCAAGGGGGCCAGTCATGCTACAATTCCATTCTTGTTCAATAATATCTAATTCTTTACAGGGACTTACCTTCTTGGAATATACATGGAAAGAAAGTGTCTCTGTTTCTGCAAATACCTCCCCAGCCTATCAACCACTGGCCAAAGCTTTTTGATGTGTTAGGAGAGAAGGGTTTTCCCCAACAAGAGCTGCTGTTTCAGTAAAAAGGGTGAAAGGGTAAGAAGGGGTACCTGCCATCTTCTATTGCATCATAAAATACATACTGRGTCCTGAGGGCCAGGAAGGCACCAGAAGGCAGCAAAGGCCTGGTTTCGGAATAACCAGGGGCAGAAATGAGATACCTTTTTACCGAAGTGAACGGGAAGGGTGATGATCTACACTCAACTTCTAACCAATGACTCATGTAGGGTGGGGCCATGCTGGCACCTCTCTGATTATTCTGCTATAGGCAATTTATCTACCTTTTAGCTGAAAAGTGAGGCAGTGTAGATATGATCTGAGACCCAGTTCCATCCTAGCATGGTTCAAGGAAACAACTCTGTTGAGGATATTAGAGGGGAATTCCTCCACTGATGACAACATGAGAAAAACATTATCTGAATATTAATCTAATCTCCAAAAGCTTATGCTGCTRTTTCTCAAAAACTGAGACTTGGACCATTTATCTAGCACAGCTATATGGATTCAGTTAGAAATTGAGACTTTGCTAAAACATTCCAGTCCTCCAACAAAGGTCACCTTTCCACATAAAGCTGAAATGCTTCATGTGAAGTCATTTTCAGAGGAATTCTTATCAATGGTATGGTAAAATGGCATTCAGTTCAACATTTTCAGTGASATGATTTCCATGGCATACAATTCGGTTGGTTGCCTTAAAAAGACCATCTTATGATCCTATGTGAAAAATTAAAATATCACATGTTTTCTATCTAGCTGCAATAGAGAAAAATCAGCCTATTTATGCCAGTGGTTTTCTGCAAAAGCTATCTATGTACTAAAAAAWAAAAAAAAAAAAAAAAAGCCTGCTGGCTTCTTCTGGGCACATTCTCATCTGAGCTCTTTCTTGTGGTCAGACTACATTATTGCAAACAGAACACAACTACGCTGTGCTCTACCAACCAAAAGACCTGAGCTAAACTATGGTAACAGTTTCACCATTGTCAATCATTTCCAGAGAAAATGGGTTCACAGGAGCTTACCTGAAGGAGGAATTGTTCCCCGGAATTGTTCCCACTGAGTGGTGTGGAGCCAAATTTGCTGCTGCTGAATATATTTCCTTTATTTGACAGTTCTTGTCCTTTTYAATTTCACAGTTAATTTCTTATCAGTATTACTCTTCAACACAGAATATCCAAGCTTTCTTTCTTTTCACTTTGTACAACTTAAACATTTTTGAAAGACAAGAACAAAGARCCGAGTAATCCTGATAATAGTCACGGGGTTTGACCCTACTTTGCAAAGTCACATTAATTTCCTTTTAAAATTTGCGATCTCCCACGATTTTTCCCTCAGAGCTGCCAGAGATTTCCACCACCTGCCTAAAACATTTGAAGACTTAYCATTCAAAACTGCAATATATGACATCAGCTCCCACCTCTGCTGTGGAGGAGCAGCAGCAGTGGCCATCGGCCTTGTGTGCTCAAATGAACAGCAGCTCTATGTGTGAAAGCTTTGCTTGTAGCTTGAGCCATGTACAGAGGTTTGGGGTGGTACCCCAAGGAGGTGGTGKTCACTGAGCTCCTTGGCATTGTTGTGCTGTTGATGAGGAGCTCACCTGTCATCCAGTGGGAAACAGGTCCAAAATGCCACCAAAGTGCCAGTCTCTGTTTCCTACTCTTCAATTGCAGTTTGGGGACTCCTGTCATACAATACCTAAAGCTCCACTAGCTGCAAAAATGAAAACACCTTTTCTCTTAGGCATACCARTGTCTAGCTGCACCGTGGCAGCAGCAGTGAAAAGCACTCAGTTCAGTACCAGCAACAATCTTTCATAGCTGTGCAAGGTTCACACAGGCCATTTCACTGCTGGAGCAGGTTCTGCAGTCCCARCCGAGCTCTCTGCTCCCCCAGGCATAGCTGGGCATTTCAAAGCTACTTTGGCACCATGTATGGCTACAGAGTCCTGTGCCTGGAGCAGGTGTGCAATGCCACTCTGCCCAGGTACTTTTCAGTGTGGGCAGCAGCCTGCTTTCCTCTCTGGACCTCAATCTCACACTACCCTTTGAGAGAGAGATTGTGGAAGCAGGGAAAATAAAAATCAGCATGCTATGAACATGTATTCACATGTGTATGCAGTCATCACAACACCATCAATGCTGTGATATTTTACAKAAGAGGTTGGGATTTCAAAAGCATAGTAACAGCGTAAAAAGTACAGGTAAATTAATTTGCTATGTTAACACCAAATCCGAAAGAGCAGTTTCACTATCCTCTGGAGAAACAGATACTTCTACTGAAATAAAAAACCTGCTGGATCCTCTAGAGTTTGGTCAGAACATCAGTACTTCTAATAACAAATAAGTCTACAACATGCTCTGTGTGAAGAAACTTTAACTTCTAACCAAAGTTACTACCAGCAACTGCAGCTACTTTCTAGCATTCACAGAGAAAAGCAGTTCTTTAGTCCTATGCCAGGAGCAGAGAAACTCACTGAATGGTACATGTCTTTCAAACGAAGCCTAAACCCGACACGGTTTCCAGCCACAGCCCTCAATGCCATCCATCCCCATGACAGAGTGGATCCCGTACCAGAGGCACGCTGGCTCTGCCCATGTGCTCGACGGGAGCCTGCCTTGCACAGAGAGGAGCCTACCTTGCACAGACGGGGTCACGGCCTCCGAAACCCGGGGAAGGGCTGCTCCGGTGGGCACAGAGCGGGATCCCGCAGCTGCTTCGGCGGGCACAGAGAGCGGGATCCCGGAGCTGCTCCGGCGGGCACAAAGCAGGATCCCGGAGCTGCTCCGGCGGGCACAGAGAGCGGGATACCCGCAGCTGCTCCGGCGGGCACAGAGCGGGATATCCGAGCTGCCCCGGCGGGCACAGAGAGCGGGATACC